AGAAAGTAAAAGCAACATAAAATTGCTAAAACTTTCCTCCTCCTTTTTCTCTCAAAAAAGCAGATAGTTAAGTAATCGCCTAAAAATCAATTTGTAATCTTTTTTCTTTGTCCATGTATCTGGACAGAAAAGCATAAGAAACTTGTTTCTGGAGCAGAAAGAAGCATGCTGCTCCCAATCCTGATCATTAATGCCTGTTTGAAGGGTTTGGGATAAGAGTATCTAATAAAGGCATCATGAAAACAGTAGAATTCAAAGTTAAAAAGCTCTGCAGCAGACCAGAAAAATGCAAATCCAGTAAAATTCATTCCATGAAATATGGAATAAGCAACTTGGAGTTCCCTGGGTTGGAATGGACAAGGTGGGGTGATTTAGGGCTGATACCACATCAGAAGGATCTATCAACATACATAAAACAAATTACTTTCTCTGAGATCTGGCTCACACTCAATTCCTTTCTCTTGCTTACAGGAACTAATCTTGTCCAAGAAAATCAATTTGAATCAGTCAAGAAATCTCTACCTCCATGGAGTATTTCGTGACCGTATAGAAATGTTGCTTTCGGCACAGACTGTTGTGGGGCAGGTGTTGGTAAGTACATTCTCATTGTTACCTTGTTAATAAAATTTAGCTATGAGAGTAATTATAGTCAGTATATGTAATTTTATCACCCAGGTAAGCATCGAATGCTCCCTGGTGGCCTTATCTAAAATATCACTATCTCCCAATCACCATCTCGTGTCTACCTTCTCTATCCCTTATTTTGCCTGCTTTTTCTTCGGAGTGAATATAATTACTTGGCATTATGTTTTATATTTATTGTCAGTCTCTCCTCCAGGAGAAAAGCTTTATTAGGGCGAAGATTGTATCCATTTTATTCTCTTTGTGTGGGTATCTAGCATATAGCAGAGGTTCAAGAAATGTTGATATTTAGTGGATCATCTGGCCTGAAATGTACAGATATTTTCCCCTTCTTTAAATCCAATAGCCTCTTTTCTTAATAATACAAACTAGTCTTTTTTGCCCTTCTTTAATATTTATCATATTACTTCCTATTTTAATCTGGATAACCTGGACATATTAAAACTCAATCCGAACATCATCGTCTTGGGGAAATCTTACCTTATCTCCATGTTAGGCTAAGAATCCATCTCTAAGCTTCTATAATATACATTGAACACTGTTATAAAATTATCTGTGCATATACCTCTCCCCCCAGTTTACTATGAGCTCCCATTTTATGTCCCATTGCCTGGAAAAAGCAGTTGCCCTATAAATGAATATTGCACTGATTATCATTTCAGTAGTAGAGTTTGATCTGAAACATTAAAAAATTGAAATCTGTAATTTGAGGGTATACTGCCATCAGATGGTGGTATGATGAAAGTAGACAAATGTGAGCTAAAGTTTATCTTTTGCTTTTTTTGTAATTAGTAAAAATATTGTTTTTTCTAGTTAATGTTTTTAATTCAGATATAATTAATTTTTCAAACTTATTTGGAAGTATATAAATAAAATTTCTTTGATAAAATCTGCAGAGAATGTTGAATCATCTGGAAATGTGACTTTCTTTTCTTTCTAAAGTTTTGGTCTTTTTCTGAAATCCCTGTCTGCATGACCCATTAGAAAAGGAATTTGTGATTCTTTCCAATTATGTTAGGGATTTCTTGGTTAGCATTTCTTCAAATGTTCAAATCATGTTGGACTATATGATAATATCGGAAACAATGTATTAAAGGAGTGAGGCAGAAAAGAACTTATAACATCTACTAAATTTCCCTTTTTTATAAGCACACCAGTCATATTGGATCAGAGTCCATCCTCATAACCTTTCCTTAATTAACTTGAATACATCTGCAAAGATCCTATTTCCAAATAAGGTCACTTCCTGAGGTACTGGGGTTCAGGACTTCAACTTAACTTTTTGTGGGGACACAATTCAACACATAACCATTGTAATGATAAATGTAACCAACCTCAACCAAGATATGACATCATGAATACCAACCAGTATATCAAAAATATAACTTCAAGATAATTAATAAATAAAAAATACAAAAAAATTTTAAAAAGACATTAAAAACATGTAGGTAGCAGGACCTTTAGTTTACTTATATCAAGACATACTAAATAAAAAATAATCATAATCATAAGACCGCAGTAGCTTAATTAATGAGAGAGCTTATCAAAATGATCAAACTCCATATGCTGAAAACAAATTAAACTTTCAAGAGTCTATAGACTATTTGTAAAAATTCAGCATATATTAGGCTACACACAAAAAAATTCCAGTTATAAAACATACAAAGTAAAGACAGATGATCTTAACTGAACAGAGAGCAATAAACAGTTAAAAAAAAATAATAACTAAACCCAGGAAAAAAGAACCAAAAACAAAGACCATGAAGCTAAAAATTTTTAAATATCTTTAATGACTCTTGATTTAAATGGTAAAGATAATGAAAACACTACATGTCACCTGCAACTAAAGATGAGAGTGGTTCTGTGTTAAATGCATAACAATAAAAACTTATTTCAATAATAAAAATAATTAAAATAAATGAATTAAATATCAATCTCAAAAAGTTAGAGAAATAAAATACATTAAATCTAAGCAGAATAAATACAAAAAGAGATTCAGAAATTAATGAATTAAAAAACAGCTGATTATTTGAAATAAACAATAAAATAGAGAAATACATAGCTAATGTAAGCAAGGAAAAGAGGGAAAAAACAGAAATACTTCTGAAATAAGACATTACAATGAGAGAATAAGATAAAAAGGAATTTGAAAAATGTGTTTGCAATTAAATTTGAAAATTGGATAATTCCTTAGGATAATATAAATTACCAAAACTGACCACAAAAGAAAAAATAAACTGACCAAATATCTAGAAGAATTAAAGATGTAGTCAAAGACCTAGTTGTCATTAACTACCACCACCCTTTCTCCTCCTCTTCCTATGGGAGATCTAGATGATTTCAAGGTCTAGTCAATCAAATCTTCAACAAGTGAATTTCTCTAATACTAATTAAACAGTCTCAGGACATAGAAAATACAATATAAATGAATGAATGAATGAATGAATAAATAAATAAATAAATAAATAAATGAATGAACAAAAAACTCCTTACTTTTCATTTTCAATGAAGGCATGGTATGTATATCAAACCCCTCAAAGATAGCTAATCAAAAATATCCACAGACTAATGTATTTAATGCTTTGGGGAAGGATTCATGGCTAACTACCCAGTGGAAGAAGAATAAAAAGAAGGTGGAGGAACAGGAGGATAGGATGGTGGGGGGAGAGGGGAGTAGGGAGAAGGAAAAGGAAAAGAAGAAAGAAAAGAAAAAGACAAAATAAGAAGGAAGAGAATTCCAAAAATCAAAGGGAAGAAATATTATCTTCAAAACAGGATACCTTCTAGAGATTAGAACACGGCAAATTATCATTCAATTTAATGGGTTTGTTGTGTTAGTTATCACGAGGCATGTTTTTATAACCATCATTGGGGGCTTTTCTTCTTAATTTAATTCCAAATGTAGTCCTAGACCAAAAACCCTCTGTTCCTTTTTTGACGGGGAAAAGGGTGGAGGGATGCTGTTAATTGTGTAATCAACTGTTTCTCTGTTACTCTGATGTGCAGTCTTTTCTGTGAATGTGTAATCCTTCCTGTAGATAAGTAAATAAGCCCTTAGCTAGAGCAACAATTGTCAATATTAGTATACAGAACAACTAAATGAGCAAAGGAAGGATCACGATTCATTTGGAAATGAAAAAGAATATTTCTAATATGATACTGGGAAAATAGACGATTATTTTCTTGGGTTTTGCTAACTTTTGTAATATAATGCTACTTGTAGAAAAAATTAGAAAACATAAAACATACTAGGAATTATCAGTCTCTTCATACTTTATATTCATTGTTTATATTAAAAGCCTTTTCTACCACCTTGAGATGCTTTATCTGCATCTATTTTTTCATTATTTCATATTTTATCTTTAATATACCATCGAGCATCAGGAATTCATTTTGTTATATAGTATGAGACTATGCTTTAGAAATCTTTATCATATAAATAAAGACAAGATTGGTAGGAAATACTTAACAATATTTACATTGATTATTTGTAGATGATTACATTGTTTGTCTCTTTATACACATGGTAAAATATTCAAAAAGTATCAAAGAAGACATAGTAAAAATTAGTTTCTTTCTTACCCCTATCTCCATCCACTACTACCAGTTTCTTCCTTCAAACCTGCAGATTCTCAGCAACATTATCAGATACATTTTCTCTAGGTGTTTAGGCAACCTAAGACATTTCTTCTCTTCTATAAGTTGTATCTACAGAATTTAAGTTTTGAAATAATAAAATGTTTTATTCCTTCTGGCATTTGTTTAGAATAGTAAAGTGAATGACTAATGGAGCCAGTGGAGGTAACATTAGATCTGAATTTCAGGTTAGTCCACTGATCTCATGTCTTCAAATTGGAATATACCCACTGGGAAGAAGGGGAAAGGGGTTCCGACGGGTTTCTGAAGGGCCAGCAGTTACCGCCAGTTCTCCAACTTTCATAGATCTTATTAAAAGAGATCTGAGGATTCATTATGTTAGTTCACCTATCATATTTTTGCAATCCGTTTTACAAAAGAGAGGTACTATCATCTCCTTTGAGAAGTGAAGAGTCTGATGCATAGAGATAAAATGTAAAAATTATGAAATGGGGAAGAAAAATACTCTATAGGTCGTTTATTTCAATGAATAAATGAGTTAATACATAAGATGCTGAACTTTAGCAATGATTCCTATCCATAAATACACACATGAATTTTAAAAATCTATCACATTTGAATGAATTTCCAATATGGTTTTACTTTTTGTTTGCTAATTATCAGAATTTATAATATAGTTACATTGCTTTAATCAAATGTGTCTTAACAACTGTAATAATAATTCAATCCAGAGGAAATTTTAAAAAATATAGAGACAGGTGTCATAAAATTTAGATTATTTTAGTTTTTTGCACCTATCTTGAGATTTCAAACCTGTTTTCCCCATTTTTCCACTCAATTACTATTTCTTAGAGGTGTTAAGCAGTAATTACTGAATCAACATGACATATCAAGATGATCCTAAGTGCAGGTTTTTGCAAATCATGCTGGTATAATCATTAATAGAGTCTCTTGCACTCTTAAAAGTTGATGTGTGCAGACAATAAATAATAGAGCCACCTTTGTATTTCAAAGGCACAGGACATTTTCCAAAGAAAGAGCCATAGAGAGAATTCAACTTTGAAGGTGTCCTTGACTGCTCCATTGATTAAACTCCACCTTTGGTTAGAAAGAATACTGTTTTTCTCTCTCTACTCCTAAATTACACCATTTCCTCTCATGATGGGCTATGATTTCCCTCTTTGGGTCTCACTTAGCCTTACTGGAGATATATATACTTCAGTTGTCTCATGATACACATATATTTTTATCAGTAGTCTCATGATATATATATATATTTGTGGATAATTGATATTTTTCTTATCTTTAATTTCAGTGTGCTTTCTTTTCCTATTTATTTTGTTTAATTTTAT